GCTGTTATGGCTGCCGAAAGGGGAGCAGGTCCCTTCAGGTGTAGACTCTGGAACCAAGCCGCTTAAATCTATAACAAATAAAAGTTTGTATCATCTGTGTGTGTACACATGCTGGAGGTCAGCGGACAATTTTGTGAAGTCAGTTCTCCCAATATCACATGAATGGGTTCTGAAGATTGAATTCAGGTCACCAGGCTTGCAAGCAAAGTGTCTTTATTTGCTGAACCTTCTTGCCAGCTCAGGCTGCCTAAATTTAAAACCTTGTTTTGTCATTTACTTATGTGGGACCTTAGGGATACTTTTTTTGTTTTTTTTTTGGTTTGTTTTTGGAGACAGGGTTTCTCTTGTGTAACATCTCTGGCTGTCCTGGACCTTGATTTGTAGACCAGGCTGGCCTCGAACTTACAGAGATCTACCTGCCTCTGTCTCCCAAGTGCTGGGATTAAAGGTGTGTGCCACCGATGCCAGGCTTTTTAACCTGTAGCAGAGACTTATTTTTAACTAGGGATATACCTAATAATTGTAAGGACTTAGGTAAAAGACAGAGGATTAACTCTATATTTGACTTATCGTAAGAGTCAGTTTTGTTTATTTGTTTTGAGACAGGATTTCACTGTGTAATAGCTTTAGCTGTCCTGGAACTAGTTCTATAGACCAGGCTGGCCTTGAATTCAGAGATCTATTTGCCTCTACCTTCCAAGTGGCTGGGACTTTTTTTTTGGACAGGGTTTCTCTGTGACTTTGGAGGAGTCCTGGAACTAGCTCTTGTAGACCAGGCTAGTCTTGAACTCACAGAGATCCACCTGCCTCTGCCTCCTGAGTGTTGGGATTAAAGCTGTGCACCACCACCACCGGACTGTGGTTGGGATTAAAGGCATGTACCATTACCACCTGACCAAGAGTCAGGTTTTTATTGTTGCCTTTTTTTTTTTTTTTAAAGATTTATTATATATGTGTACAGTGTTCAGCCTGCATGCATGCCTGCACACCAGAAGAGGGCAACAGATCTCATTACAGATGGTTGTGAGCCCACCATGTGGGTGCTGGGAATTGAACTCCAGTCCTCTGGAAGAACAGCCAGTGCTCTTAACCTCTGAGCCAGCTCTCCAGGCCTATTGTTTCATTTAAAAATTTTTTTCTGGCTGGAGGTTAAGAGCACTGACTGCTTTTCCAGAGGTCTTGAATTCAATTCCCAGCAATCACATGGTGGCTCACAACCATCTATAATGAGATCTGGTGCCCTATTCTGACCTGCAGGTATACATGCAGACAGAACACTGTATGCAATAAATAAATCTTTAAAACAAACATTTTTTGGGACTGGGGAGAAGGCTCATATGTTAACAGCACTGGCTGCTCTTCCAGAGGTTCTGAGTTTAATTCCCAGCAACCACATGGTGGCTCACAACCATCTACATTCCAGAACACTGTATACATAATAAATCTTTAAAAAACATCATTTTCTGTGTATGGGTGATTTGCCTGTGTGTACCTTTGTACTGTATTCATGCTGTGCAGTATATTAGTGCAGCACCTGAGGAACTCCTGGAACTGGATTTATTTGTGAGCCATGTTGAGGATGCTGGGAATGGAACCCAGCTTCTCTGGAAGAGAAGCCAGTGCTCTTAACCACTGAGCCGTTTCTCCAGCCCCCTGTTAACTGCCTTTTGAGACAGGGCTCTATTATGTAGCTCTTGGTTCACCAGTTCCTGTGCCTTTCCATTCATAGATGGGCAAGCTTAATCACACCTGCCTCATGGAGATGCTGCAAGGGTCAAATCAAAGAATGTCTGTTAAGTTACAAAGTCTCCTATTAAGATGTAATTTACTTCTTAAGCAATTGACATCACAGTGTGACAGGAAGGTCGTGTAAGAAACTTAAATGGTCCTTTTTATTCCTTATTTATTTTAGCCTACATTTCCATTCAAGAGAATGAACAGACTCACATTTATGCATTGGTTCACAATTTATTAACAACAACAACAACAGCAGCAGCAGCAGCAGCAAACCCAAAACAGTTTTTGGTCACAGGGCCTCTAGCAGTTCAGGCGGACCTTGAATTGTTTCCTGATCTTCCTTCTTCCACTTCCCCAGTGCTGGGATTACAACTGTAATTCATAGCGACCCACAGGAAAAGATGTTTTATCCACGTTGTGTATCTGAATATTCCCACAGAGTAGGCTTTGTCGTCAACTTCCGCCCCATTTGGTGCTAGGAATTAGAATTCAGGGATACAGGTCTTGCACATACTCTACAAGCAACCTACCACTGAGCTAATGTCCTCCCAGTGGTAACCCAGGTTTTCAAGGGAATTTGCTAACAGCAGGGTGCATACCAACAATTCTTTTAGATTTATGCACTTTCATTGCATCCGATGTTACCTGAGTTCCTCATTTAGAGGGAGAACACAACACAATTTGATGGAATTTACAATAGTAGAAACCAATCTTGATTTTTCCGGATAGTTATAACAATACATCGATGGCCTCTTTCCATCTGTAAAATGGGGGGTGGGAGTGGGGGTGGGGTGGCAAGACCTCCACAACATGGTGTGGTTAGGTAATAACAAAGGCTGAGGGTGAACCTACCATATCGTAGTGCCACAAGTAAATCCCATCTTCCCTTTGTCAGACAGGACGATATATCACTACCTTTCCTATTTCGCACATGATGTACTACCTAACCGAGAACGCTCGGATTCCCTTCCTCGACTTGCAACTCTTAACACCGAGAAGGGGTTACGGGCCACCGTGAGGTCCTCTCTCCGTTCTCGTAGCGTGAATAATCTCTCTTGAGTTGTCGTCTGGGTGGCTGAAGGACGCGGGTGATTTGAAGAGCCAGATCTTAATCCTCAACCCTCCATAAGGGACCAAGCTGTGTTCTTCTCATCCCTAACCTCGCTAAAGTAAAGGTCGAAGCTCAGCTCCAATTACCGACGCCATTTTGGCCGGTACGTGTGACGCCACACGTTTAGCTGAAAGAGCAGCCGATTGGCTGGGAAAGGCCGGGAGGCATAGGCGCGCGAAGCTAGAGACTGGAGGGTCATGTAGAAGCCAAAAGGAACTACACTCCCAGACCTCCTTGCGCACGCGACCGGCAAGCAGAGAGAGAGAAAGAGAACGGCGTTTGAGCTTGGACTACAACTCCCAGCAGGCCCCGCGACGCTCTTCCTTTCCTTTCAAAACGCGGTGGAAAAAAAGGACAGAACGAATGGAGGCTTTTGAGTGCTCGTTTCGCAAAAGGCGGGAAAGGCGAACTACACCTCCCGATGAGCCGCGCGCGCTTGCGCCTGCGCTCTGGTATCTGTCGCCATCTTGCCCCTTCTGAGGCACCGCAAACAAACCTAATTCCTGGTGTCCCCTAGTCTTGGCGGAGGAGCCTTTTAGATGAGCCCCGAAAGGCCGGGCAGGTGGGTGTCTCTCAGGCAGGATCCCGGGGAGAGCTGGCAGGCTATCCAGGGTATGGGGGCGCTGGGCTAGTCATGGGGAGTCCGGCTTGGGGCGGTCAGCCCCATCCTCCGTTGTTTCCTAACGGGATCGCGGGGCTCCCTCAAGTGGACCGAGGGGGACTCCGGCACGCCTGGTGATGGGACACTGGAGGTCGAGGTCAAGGAACCCCGGGGTGAATCCGGGGCGTCTGGCTGGCTGTCCGCGTCCCTGCTTTTTCCCTGTTGTCCTCTCCACTGAGGAGAGCGCGAGGCGCGGACGCTGGCCAGGGTTCCCGAGACCGGCTGCTGGCCGCGGGGGCGCGGGCTTGACACTGGGACCAGTGCTGAGCCGCGCAGGCGAGGAGCCGGGCGGGCTGCTCTTGTTGTGGTGCTGTGAGGAGTGCGTGTTTGGAGAGGGGGCGGGGCGGGTTGCCTGCTGACACTTGAGCGGGGGGACGAGTCGTTGCGACCCGGGTCCCCAAAGCGCGCTCCGGCTGCTGCCGCTCGGCTTTCCTTTGCTGTGCGGCTCCGCCGTGGGCTTCGCTAGAGGGGATGCTTTGGGATGCCGTGACGTGGTGTCTGATTCGGGCGGTCGCCTGCCGCCTCCGAGATCCCATCGGGAGGCGGGGACTGGCTTGGGGAGCGAGCGGATTCCTTTGGCTCTGCCCCTTCCTCCTCTCCACCCCCTTTCTTTATGTCATCCTGCCAGCTGGGGCGCGCAGTCCAGTTCGGCTTGCTCAGGCTTGGTTCTGAGCTCAGAGGACGATGGGAAGTAGGGGGAAGAGGGTTCCACTTGAGGCCGAGAGTTGGAATTAGCAGTCCAGAGCCTGGAACGCAATAGAAGAATTATATCGGTTTAGTGTTGGACTCTTAAGTTAGCTCATTCACTCACTCACTCACTCACTCACTCACTCATTCACTCACTCTACTCTCCTGCTAACCACCGTTTTTTATCAGTTTAACAGATGTTTAAGGAGGGTCTACTGTGTGCTCAGCTGGTAGTGTGAATTACCAGTTCTGAGTCTTTTTGTTCTCCAGACTAGGGAATTCTCAGTGTGAAATCACAGGCATCTAAAATTTTGATAACTGGTGGATTCATGGCTGTTTTAGCGCCAAAACTTGAGGAAAAAGTTCTTTACTAAGTTCCATTTACCCAAATAACATGCTCTACCCTTTGCTTATTTTATCTCATAACTTATTGTTAAGGAACCTGGCAGAGGTCAAGTCACTTGTCCAATGTTGCACAGGCGGTAGAATCTATTTGGCAAATTATATGCCAGCCACTATGAAGGAACTTGACATGTCCTGTTTTCTAATACTTATCACAACAAACTGGGTGGTATTACCTTTTTCTTTTCCACAAACCTGTACAAAGTGAGTTCAGACAGGCTAGTTCACCAGGATGAAACAACTAATTATGTTGAAAAGCTGGAACTGGAACCAAGTATTTGACCTTAAAACCTGTGCTCTTTCCACTGTTAATATGAGCTGGATCAGTGTGCTCTCAAATGATGGTTTGATTCATTTGTCAGTATCTGGAAAGCATGGTGATGAAAGATGGTTATGAGGTATTTTTACAGTTTTACTTTGTAGCCTGTGGATGGATCTCCAATCGAGTGACCTATTGCATATACTTTGGTAATTTGATTTGTTTTTCTTCTGATAGGGAGGACAAGCTCTTTGGGGCTACCAAACAGAAGCAGCAATGCCTGTTGTGTGGCCAACCCTTTTGGATCTCAGCAGGGATGAATGCAAACGAATTCTTCGAAAATTGGGTATGAATTTTGTTTTTGTTCTAAGCATGGTCTTACTGCCTTCAAAATCATGGCTAGTCTCCTTCCTCAGAGTCCCAAGTGCTGGCACCATAGCTATCTATGTTCCACTATGCCTATCTAATGGTTTTAATTTTGATGTTTTATATTTTTCTGTAACTCTTTTTTTTTCTGTGTGGGTCATGGCTGTTGGTGGTATAGTCCTCATTCTTCTCACTTTTCCCAGGGCCTAGAAAAATTTGCAAATGAGATAATGAGATACAGGAATTATACAAGGAGCCATGATAAATGGGAAGCCTGGCTGGTGTGTGTGTGTGTGTGTGTGTTTGTGTGTGTGTGTGTGTGTTTTGTTTTTTGTTTTCCAGACAGGGTTTCTCTGTGTAGCTTCAGAACCTGCTCTGGAACTCATTCTGTAGACCAGGCTGGTCTTGAACTCACAGAGATCCACCTGCCTCTGCTTCAAGTACTGGAATTAAAGGCATCCACCTGGCTATCTTTTTTTTTAAATTTATTTTTTTGAACTCACAGAGATCCACCTGCCTCTGCTTCAAGTACTGGAATTAAAGGCATCCACCTGGCTATCTTTTTTTTTTAATTTATTTTTATTTTATTTGCATTTTATTTGCATTTTATTGGGGTTTTGCCTGCATGTATGTTTGTGTGAAGGTGTCAGATCTTGGAGTTATAGTTGTTAGCTGCCTTGTGGGTGCTGGTAATTGAACCCATGTCCTCTGGAAGAGCAGTCAGTCCTCTTAACCATTGTGCTCTCTCTCTCCAGCAACCCCTCCCCCCAAGGGGTGTGTGTGTGTGTGTGTGTTTGTTTTCCAGGACAGGGTTTCTCTCTGGCTTTGGATCATGCCCTGGAACTCATTCTGTAGATCAGGCTGGCCTTGAACTCACAGAGATCCACCTGTCTCTACCCCCCCCCCCAGTCACTCTACCCCCCCCCCCCAGTCAGTTGTGTTTTCTTTCTTTCTTTCTTTCTTTCTTTCTTTCTTTCTTTCTTTCTTTCTTTCTTTTTTCTTTTGGTTTTTTGAGACAGGGTTTCTCTGTGGCTTTGGAGGCTGTCCTGGAACTAGCTCTTGTAGACTAGGCTGGTCTTGAACTCAAAGAGATCCTCCTGCCTCTGCCTCCTGAGTGCTGGGATTAAAGGTATCTGCCACCACTGCTCGGCTAGTTGTGTTTTCTTGGTCAGCATCACACAAAATACTCAAGCCCTCAAATAGATCTTTTGTTTGGTCCCCATTTTACATATGAAGTTTAAACCTAAGGCATTGCTCACAGTAAGTTATGTAGTCAGTCAGTATTTGACTCTAAGCTAGTGGTTCTCAACCTTCCTAATGTTGTGACTCTTTAAAACATTTCCCCATGTCGTGGTGACCTCCAACCATAAAATTATTATTGTTGCTACTTCATAACTATAATTTTGCTACGATTATGAATTGTAATATGAATACGATTCTGTATTTTCCAGTGGTCTTAGGCAACCCCAGTTAAAGGGTCTTGGGGTTGTGACCCACAAGTTGAGGGACAATACTCCAGGCAATTTTTTTTTTTGTCTCACGTTAGCATACTACTAACTTTAATAGATGTGTATGTGTGAATCATGCCTTTTCTGGATTCTAAGTTAATGCAAGCTGCCCATTTTCCCAATTACTTAATTACTGCAGTTGATAAAAACACACTTTATGCTTAGAGTTGATTATTTAATGTTTCTCTTTTTTTCCATTGATAGCAGCCATTTTCAACAAGCATTTAGGGAAAGAAGTAAGCCCTAATGTTAAGGCATATGTAGTGAACTAGCTTTTTCTTCATGCATGAAAAATGGTGTTAGCTACATGTTGTTCTTCTGAATATTGAGAAAAAAAGTTACTCTAATCATTTGAATCTTTGGTTTAAAATGAAAATCTGTGAAAAAATGCTGTTTCAGACCATAAAGGCTTTGTCTTATTTACCACTGTAACCTGAGGCTAGTGCACTAAATGAATTAAATAAAAAGCCTATCGTTTCGACTGACATCTGAGACTATAGTATTTAAAGCAGCTACTTTTGGACATATTTGTAGGCCACTAAAGTTTTCCTTCAAAGGAAATCTTTGTTGTGAATTCTATATGTAGATCAGATAAAATTGTAGCTACTCTGGATCTACTGCTAATAACTTCTTCCCTTTTATTTCTTCCCCCCCTTGAGGATTTCAAACTACTTAACATTGTTTTAGCAGTTTGAAGAGGGTTCTTTTGGGGAGTGGGCAGCAGGGTGACAGGATGGGACAGGACGGGACGGCAGTATTTTAAACTTACATGCAAACTTTTATCAATATGTTGAAGGTACTTGGCTATACACATGCACCATTGTAACTTGCTGTTGACTATAAAATTGAACTCCATTTCTTTCAGAGTTAAAAAAAAAATGCTAGATGAACAGATCACAAAGACAGTAAATTGGACTGAGGTTTCTGGGTTTTGAGGGCCTTGGAACAAGGGTTTGTGTTTAAATATAAAGTTAGTAACCTTTAAATTTACCCCTAGTTTTTCCCATAAATGACTTGAGGTGATGTATGAAAATGGCTTGATGATAAAACTTTATAAAATCATGCACATCAAGAAGTTCAAGTTTTGTCATTCAAGAATGATCACCCATGATGAAACTGCCAATACCATCAAGGTTATACATAATCTTGAAAGCTACCAGATACCAGGAAGATACCACTTTATAAAAGCAATGTGTACCATTGTGTTGTTACCATGATGGGCCTAATACATTTGCTCATCCAGGCCTAATAGTCCAGTCATAGCATCAGTAGCTCAAGGAGAGTGCTTTCTTTTGTTTTCTGTATATCATTTAAAATGCAGAGAGTAATGCTTAACTCTTGGATTTACATGTAGATTCTCAGTTACTGAGTATATACAGTGAACAAATCAACCAAGATGTGCCAGTGGACTTAACAGAGCTTAGGGTCAGATCTATTTTTGGGGCTTCCCTTGCCACATCAGATTGATCATCACTGAAGAGGATCAGGTTTTTTTTTAAGCTAGAAGAGAAGGTTGCACAGAAAAAAAGAGATATCCTAGAGGAAACTGAAGAAAGAGACTTAGGGTGCATTAAAAAATCCAGCATTAAAAAAGATTCAAAAGTAAAAAAGTAAAAGTAAAAAATAACTAGCAATGAATGTGTCTGTAGTTTTAGACTGTGTGAGAGATGCTGCTGGGTACCGCTTCTGTGCTACTCTGCAGCCATTGCTCATGGCCCTGCTGGTTCCAGAGACATTTAGAAAGGTGGACCTTGACAGCATTTTGACAAAAGATTCTTCCTTCCACTGGGTTACTGTTAGTTTAAGGGCTAGAGAGAGTTCAGCAGTTGAGTCAGTCAATGGTCATATCAGGCTGTTCACAACTACTTGTAACTCCAGCTCCAAGGATCTCATGCCCTCTTCTGGCCTCTTTGGGTGTCTGCATTCACATTGCATTCTCTCTTATTTCTCTCTCTCTCTCTCACACACACAAATTTATTTATTTATTTATTTATTTATTTTTGGTTTTTGAGACAGGGTTTCTCTGTGTAGCTTTGGAGCCTGGCCTGGCACTCACTCTGTAGACAAGGCTGGCCTCGAACCCACAGAGATCCGCCTGCCTCTGCCTCCCGAGTGCTGGGATTAAAGGCGTGTGCCACCACCGCCTGGCTAAATTTTTAAAAAGTGTTAGTTTAAAACTGTCCTTTTAGAAACAACCATAAATTGTTTCAATGTAGAATGCCAAACATTTTAATTATAAAGAAATTGGGGAGTGCAGAGGGGGTGGTGCTGGAGAGATGACTCAGCAGTTGATAGCACTGGCTACTCTTATAGAGGGTTCGGTCCCAGCACCCACATGGCAGCTCATAACCATCTGTAACTCCATTCTG